AGACTTTAAAAAGGGTACGCGAGGCGGTATATTTCCCGCAATTATACAAAATAGTAACGGCGTATGTCAGGTCCTGCAATCAATGTCAGTTAATAAATGATATTAATTACAGCCCGGCCGGGTACTTAAATAGCATTCGCGCTACATTTCCGAATGAAATTTTAGGCATAGATCTCCTTGGTCCCTTCCCCCAGAGCGAGTTAAATAAAAATCGTTTTCTTTTAGTAATAGTAGATCATTTTTCAAAATGGATAGAAATTGTTCCACTTAAACTTAAACGCGCGTCAGCCAAAACAGTCGCAGATGCATTCTTACACAGATACATTTTAAAATACGGTGCACCGATAAAAGTCATTAGCGATAACGGAAAACAATTCATTAGTCAAATATTTGAAAACATATGCAATGGACTTGGCATACGCCATATCAAAATGGTTCCGTATAGACCACAGGCTAACATAGCAGAAAGAGTTAATAAAAACATAGTAAAAATAATTCGCAGTTACGTGAGCACACATCACAAGCGCTGGGATGGCTACATAAATGAATTAGCTTATGCTTTAAGAACGGCACAATCATGATACTACGGGAAAAACTCCAGCAGAATTATTTTTAGGCAGAAAGTTAATTACGCCTTTAGATAAATTATTCTTTGTGCAACAAAGAGAGCAGGAGTTTTCAAACAAAAGATGTGCAAAAGTTGATTGATCAGGCGCTTAAAACCTCGGATACGGCAAGAAATAGGCAGAAAACTTTATTATGATAGAAAACGCCGTGAAGCAGATTTTAAAGTTGGGGATAAAGTATTGAAGCGGAAATTTTCTTTATCAAGTGCCCCAGACAATTTTATGGCAAAGCTAGCTCCAAAGTTTGAAGGCCCCTATGTAATTCAGGAAATCAAAGGAGTAGTCGTTTATATCTTAAGAACGAGAGAGGGGAAATCTGTAAAGCAAGTCCCGACCAGGTGAAAAAATACTATAATCCAAATGATTTTGAAATCCTTAAAAGTTTCTTGCAGGACTCAAGTCTAAACGAAAGTAGAAGGGCCAGAGACTACAACAACTATTCCACCACCCAAAAACAAGAAACAGAGAACTGAAGAGAGACCTAGCACTTCTACAACCCGGACGTCGGTATCAAAAAGAAAAAATGATTTTCAAACTCCGGCGTTTAAGAAAAACAAAAATACAGATGAACCGGGTAAAGAAACCGTGGTAAAGAGAAAAACACCACCTACAAAGGATAGCAGGAGAAATTACACATCAAGGAGAACGCGCACACGGCCACAGAGTCAGGTGCCAGCAAGGCCGCCGTTCCGGAAACTGAAACGCCAACAGGAGGCACAAAAATACGAGGAACAGAAGAAATTCAAGAAGGACTCCAGACCGGAGGACGTCAAGACCAGCCGTCCCAGGCAGAAACGCAAAAGGCCAACAACCAGACGATTACTCCGTCAAGAGGCCAGCAGCATGTAGAGGACGCAAAAGAAAAAGCAACGTGGACGACACTCGGAGATCAATAAGGAGAAGATTGACATCCATGAAACCTCTAACTTGGGATCAATTTTGCCAAAAACGGATGACGGAGTTTTCAAGCATCGAAAACTCAAAGATAAGTTAAAACCTTCTATAAAATTTTTTTTTCTCTTTTGTTCCGAAATGTTATGCATAAGTACGAAGTTCTATGTTTTGACGAAAGTCAATATGTCTCGGTTGAGACTTAGTTTTGTTTTACTTTATTTAGCTAAGGCAAAAGTATTATTTTCTTTAAGTGTAAAAGCTAAAAACAAGCATTTTCTGTTGGTCGAAAGACTAATTCTGTTATGTTAAAGCCAAAATTTGGCCGGAAGATAAAAATAACTTCGTATTCTTGTATTAATAAGAATTTTAGTTTCAGTGCCGCCAGCTTGGCGAAGAATGAGTAAAGTAAAAATTTATTTTCTCTTATTCATTTTATGGTAAATTGTAAAAAGCATATGTATTAAACTTTTGTAAATGTATGTAAATACTTGCAATGTTATGTAAAAGTAGAATTTAGTCTAGAAGCATAAAATTGTAGATGCTAAAAGTGAATGCTTAAAAGCAATGAAGTCAAAATTTAAGTAGTTAAATTGTAGATAAAGTCATGCTTTAGAGCGAAAGCCTGCATGTTTAAAGATGAATGAGGGGGAAGTTAGAATGAATGTGTTTTGTAGGGTTCTCCACCTACATTTGAATTTTTAAGAATATTAAAGTAGCTCATTGAGTTGTAGAATGTCGAGTAAGGTGTGTCTATTTGGTCGTTGAATTCTAACAAATCATGGTGGTTAGGGGAAGTGTTGTAAGACTAAAACACGAATATTCCCGTTTGACACCACACACGGTGCAAGAGCCAGGGTAAAGTTAAATTAATGCTTGAAAAATTGAATGAATGTGAAGTAAGCAATAACTAAGAAAAACGAATCGTTTAAAAACAAAAATTTATTGTGTCAAGAAAGTGTAAATTATAATGTATGTAGAAAGATACTGATACTTATTCCTTCCAGATGCTGGAAGGAAAGACCAAGATTGATTGATGAAGTCCAGGAAAAGTTGCTGTAAGAAGAAAGCTTTGTAACGAGCAACAGAATTTAGTATAATTGTTTTGTTACATAAGATTTTTTTTTTTTTTTTTTTTTTTTTTTTTTGTGTGTAAACGAGGTTCTCGCCAGTTAGTTCAGAATTAGAGAAACTTACAACAGGTCGTTTGTAGGACCTGCTTCCAAGTTTTCCAAATTCTGGCAGCGGCAAATGTAGGGTTTATATTTATTTTAACTAACATTTGTTTTAAGTTTAAGCTATCTTTCCTGTCAAGCCTTACTTTCCCCTGGAACTGCCAATGCCAGAATATGTAAATTTGAGTAGAACGCGCAAGGATTCAAATTACCAGCGGAAGTAGTATTCTGATTTAAATAGAAGGAAACGAGTTCGGTGTGATATTCTTACTTAGCGAGCGCGGAGGTAGTTAGCGAGAATTGAAGAACCCCGCGTTGCGGCCTATGTGCTTGGCGGGAAGTAGTTGGTAATTGTTCCAGTGAGCTCCAAGTCTGCTGAATTAGCAGCGGTATTGTAAAACGCGGTGAGTTAGTTATTTTAGAGAGCCTCGTAGTTAGAATCTTGTCTTTACTTTCTTTTCAGGTTATTATTTTTATTTGACTGCCGAGTTGGCACCGTCTGTAAGCGTCAAGAGAACGCAATTGTAATTTATTACGTTGAATAAAAAGGGACTTAAACCCTTCACAAGGCTCTATCTTTTATACAAGTTTTCACAGTCACCTCTTGGTTGCGTGCAAGTTGGAGGCGCGCAACGTTATAAGATAAAGAATCATGAATAAATCAACAAAATGAAATTTTATTTCAAACTGCAAAACATGCAGAAGGAACAAAATGACAAAACAGGTTTATGATGAACAAACATACTATGAAGATAATTGCAAAATGATTCCAGTAACTTCATAATAATTGCAAAATGATAATAGAAGTCACTGACATATCCTTCAACTTGATAATCCTAAGACAGCACTGAAAAAGTAAGCAAATTGATCCATTCAAACAAGTGACTAACTGTTGAGGAAATTTTTAGAACCTGAAGTCCTCTTATTTAAAGCATTCTAACAACCTATTCGAATATGAGATAAACGAATACAAAATTTATTTTAACGCATTATGACTTACGCCACAATAGTTTCTATCAAATTTAAATATTATAGTACATTTTCATAACTTTATTCATTGCACTATACAGCTTCTGACTTTTGTCGAGAATCAAAATTAGGTTGGATTAATTGATTAAGGCAAGCATGCAAGGATAATCTGCCAAAACAAGAGAGAGGCCTTCAATGAAGGCTTTTTGAGGAAAACTGGTTTATGTCCCACCTATGTTAAACTACAAAAATGCTCAGACACCTTAAAATAAAATTATCATAAACATTCTAAATTGATGCAGAATATCAAGAAAGCTACAACAGTACAACTAAAAACACCCCAAAAAAAAATCTTTCAGAACTGCTTCAGACAATGATAAGAATGGTGAGATACATGTGCTCAAAGCAGGGGTATTTTGAGAAGGATTAGTGACAATATATCTTTTATTATAACTTTTTTTAAGATTTAAATATTCACCCTGTTTTTATCATGCCTTGTCTAGTAGAATAATTGTAATATAGTATGTACGTCATGAAAGAGCTATTCTTATTACAAAATCTGCCTTTGATATTTATACCTTAGTGTACCACATAAAGTGTTTTTAATAAATTCTTGGACTTCATGAAAAAATAAGTAAGCAAGTATTTTGAAAGAGATTAGTGATAATGCATATTTTATTACAATATTTTTTTAATTTAAATATTCATCCTATTCAAAAATTAATGAAATGAATGAAAATCAATCAACCTGAAAAATCAACGAAATTCCAAACCAAAGCAATGTGAAAGCCGCTGTCTTTGAAACTGCACAGGATGTCTTGCGATGTCAGATTGAATGCTCCAATGAATGTTAGACAAAGTTTCAAAATATCATGCCTTTAGCTCCACTTTCAGTTCAAGAAATAAAGCAAAATCATGCATAAATAGGTCAAGGGGATCAGCAAATAATATCCATTTATGCCAAAATTTCTAACTTTTCTACAACGTTTTGTACTGCAGTTAAATGACCTAAACTACTTTTTCACTTTTATATTATTTAAAAATTCAACTCAACAATACAAAACTTTTATGGTAATGCTCTAGTTCAAAAGATAAAAAAATATATAATTTTTCTATGTCTTATCCTTCAGCCATTTCCTATATAATCTGAATATATGAGATACAGAATTTGACACAATGAGAATGAGCTCCAGTCATTTAACACCTAAATTTACCTTCAATAAAGACATTAAAAGCATCAGCAAACAAAAACATGGATTAATATGTTTATTCAAAAATGCTGCTATAAAAGAAAACTCAGACACTACTGGAATATTACTACAGTAAATTTTTAACTCACCTATAAAACTTGCTTGTAAAGGATTCTCTTTCAATTTCAACTTTAGCTGCATATTTTCAATTTGAACTGCATCCAGCATTTCCTTGGTATGGTAAATACTCTGTTGAGCTTTCATTAGAATATTGTTATCATTTATATTTTTCATCCTTAAGGATATTAATTCCTTCTCTAGCTGTTTTTCTTTTTGTCTAAAATTAAATTAATAACCAAATTGTTAATTCAAAACAATAAGCGTCTCAACATCTAAATTTTTTTTAAAGTTTTGTGGATAAAAACTAAGAATTATTGCATGCATAAACAGCTAAAATTTTGTTACAATTAACTCTTAATGATAAGAAATTTTGAAAGTCAAGAAAAATAAAATGCAGTTCTCCTGAATAACAAAAGCATGTGAAATACTAAAAGGAAAAAAAAAAAAAAAAAAAACATTTTTAATAATCAAGTCAGATCTGTTTCTGCCAGACATTCTATATCTAAAATATCATTCATTTCTAATCTTTGCAGTCTATTTATAACCAAAGCTCCAATTCACTACAGATTCTTGCTGTTCGATCTTTACTCACTGCTGGACAATATCAATATATACAAAATCGAGCTTATTTACATCTAACAATTCCTTGGTTAAAAATATAGAAATATTCAAAATTTCAGTTTGCAATGCTATTACACGTGCTTTCCAGCTTCTCCCAAACTGAAATATTGCAATGTTGTTCATATATAATTTCAAACTCACTATGGCACTTTCATTAAGTAAATATTAATACAATACATAAAGCAATACAATAATATTATTTTTATTACATTACATGTATGATGTTAATTTCCATGTAGATAACAAAACACATAAAGCAATACAAGAATGTAATTTTAATTACATTACACCTATTATATTAATTTTCGCAGCTCTAATTTTACTCTAAATTGCTCTATTTTGAATGAATTAAACCAAAATCTAACAGAATATTTCATCAGCTAAAAAAGAAATTAAGGGAGAAAAGGAAAAAAAGAAAAGAACACAATTAATTTTCAAGAAATTAAAAACTACATATCAACAGTTCAAAGACATGACACGTACAGATAAAATGCTACAGATAAAATTGTAAATTAATTTAACATTTTTAAATAATCATTATAAACTTTGTTATAAGATATGCACATATAAGCTACTCTTTTTGAGTTTTTATGCAAGTAATTTTGATTACAGAAATTGGAAAAAAATTACTTACACTTAATTACACTTCCTTTGTAAAATTTTAAGATAATAAGATACTGTATTTCAAATTAAAATCTTGTATTTCATAGTAAACTTGCTACTTTTGCATTATTTAGGCAAAATATCTAAATTACAGATAAACGCTGCATTAATTCTAATAACAATTTTTTTTTTTTTTTTTTTTTTTTTTTTTTCTTTACGCTTTTAAAACTTTGAGGTAAATGCAGAATGATTATTATCCTTTGAATGGATAATTAAACACATTGTTTTTTTTTAAAAATTGAATTGTTTAAACTTAGTTCAAATAACATTTGAAGCATATTCAGAATTTTCCCTTTTTGAAAGTTATCTCTCCTCACGAGCCAAAGAATTCTCTTATACAACATAAATCGATTAACATTTATTCGCCTTTGAAATCACTTAAGTTTTATTAAAATCTACACAATCTCAGATGACTAATTTTAAAGTATTACATTCTATTTTTATTTCTTATTCTGTGTTTATATTTTTAAAATGTTTGAACTTAAATTATATATTTGATTAATGTGAAAAATGCTGTATACAAAAATAAATTTTATTTAATAATCAATATCTGAGAATACTCATTTAACATTCATAAAGACTAAGTGTTCCTTTTAACATTAACTGAAGTGAACTGGATTCTCTCTTTATAACCGGTAAATTATTGACTACCCTAGCTGTATGGTGTGCAAAGTTGAAAATTTCCTGGTATAAAATACATCATTTATATCCCCCATAAAATCAAGATTTTTCTCTTATGTATGCTTATTTCTTTTCCTACCATGCTATCTGCTTCAGTTAGCTTAGTTAACCCCAGAATAAAAAGTGTCTTCAATTGCAGTTTAGAACAAAGTTCTACAGTCAGAAGTATGGGAATGTGATGCTCACAGAGTTTGATTCATCGCTAATCATCCATCATGCGACCCATACACAAGTATCCACCATGACCTTTCACAGACGGCTGATAGAGCGAAATAAATGCTCATGCCAACCATTATGCCACCTGCCACTCACGCCTGCACACTGTAGAGCCAGATTACAGAGGTATTTGGCTCAATTAGGTTGGAATGATTCTGTTTGGGGACAAACAGTCTTTAGCAATGAATCACACTTCCAGCTGTGTTGTGACTGCCATCGAAGACACGTCTGGAGATGCCCAGAGCAGCGTCCTGATACTGCTTTCAATATTGCACACCACACAGACCCTCAACCAGGAGTTATGGTCAGGGGTGCCATTTCTCTTTATAGCCAGACCCCCTTTGGTTGTCATTAGAGGCACACTTACAGCACAGCGATATGTCAACAACATTCTGAGACCTGTTTTGCTACCGTCCTTTTACAGTACCCTGGCCTTATTTTTCAGCAAGATAATGCCAGACCACATATGGCACATGTTGCTATGAACAGTCTCATAGATTGTCAAACACTTCCTTGGCTAGCCAGATCTCTCTTCCATCATGCATGTCTGGGATATGATGGGAAGGCAACTGCATCTACCAGGGAATGTTGAAGGCCTAGCCTGACAATTGGAGCAAATTTGGCAAGAAATACTGCAGGAAACCATTCGGGAGCTTTATCAGTCTACGCCAGACTGTGTGGCAGGTTGCATCCAGGCTATAGGTAGGTGAACACCTTATCGAGCTCATTACTTTATAACTATGCAACTCTGAAATAAATCATTCAATTGTTCTGAAATTTTACTCATTTTCTATTCTGTACATACTCTTCCTATCCACCAATTTTTGTCTTCATCGGACAAATTCTTCTTGGTATGTCATTTTGTTTTTGTTATAGAGTGTATTAAAATGATTTTCTTTGTAAATTATTCACATTTGAATGGTGTTTTTTCAGATTTTCTCAGAATGTTTTTTTTTTTTTTTTTTTTTTTTTTTTTTACTTTGGGTACACTTTTCTTGAACACTATTCAATGTGGAAAGTTCAAATTTCCCGCAGTTATCTTATTTCTTTGAAATTATGTAGAAAATAAAATTTGTGATAATTAGTATTGGATATTAAAAATTCAATACCATTCTTTTACGACTTTCAAAACATTTTACAAATTTATTTTTAATATTTTTTTTCTTTTTATGTAAAATATGAAATACTGCTTTTTATTCTTAAATGATATGTTTTTAACCATCATGCAGCATTTGAAGAAGCTTGGTGCAGTATTTTTTAAGAAAACTGTACTAAACTAACACCCTTTCACAAGAGATTTGTCAAAGGAAAATGAAATTAAACAGTTGGTTTTTAATTTACATTTCATGTGTTTTATACAATCTACAATCTGTGTATTTTAATTGAAAAAAAGAATCGAGTGTATAAGTTTATGAGAAAAGTTATGACCCAGGGCTATGAAATTTGGTACATAGGTGCATCTAGACAAGAGCCAGTACACCTTTTTGGAATTTGTTTTATTATCTATTTCATATTTTGTAAAACTTTAATGAATTTCTGATTAATAAACTCAACAATTTAAAAGCGAGCAATAGCAACACTGTATAAAAAAAAAAAAAAAAAAATTATCTCCAGCGTGCAAGACTCTGTATCGAAAATTCTAAAGATATGCTCATTTTAAATGCAATATTGCTGTTGAAATTAATTTTATGGTTTTAGTTCGAAGAATATTTAATAAATAAAGTAACACACGAAACGTTTAAAAACAATACTTTCAGAATACCTTTCTGAATACTTTCAGATTTTTATTTTATTTATTTTTGATAAATTTGTTCTACAAAGTAAAATTCTGTGCAGTTTTTAAATTTAATGTTTGGTGTTCCCCTTTAGGCATTTTTCTGATACACTTAAAAGCCAGACGCAGGCTGGCTGCATAGCAGCTAGTAAACAAATAAATTGGCAAAATACACATTTAAACTTGTATCCTAACGTAACATTAAATCTATAATACATTGAAAGCATGCTGTCCTCGCAACCATGGCTGGGACCCTAGTAACATCATAATTATTCCCAAAAATCCATGATAAGCAAAGTAAGCATGAGCTACTACACTCTGGGAGTGCCTACACAGAAGCAAATAATTTTTGAAATAGTGACAAAAAATTTTGAAAGTGTGCAAAACAATGAATTATGCGAAAGTTGAGGGCGGCCTCTATATTCCAAATTCAATTAACACTACCCAGGTTAAATTTTCAGCGTTGACTTTAAAAAAACTACTCATGAATTTTCATAGAATTTGGCAGTTTGGCATAATCTGAGGAATATCATATAAAAGTCAGCATATCATTTCATAAAAATTTCTATTTTATCTTAAACTACATACATTAGTTCAAAACTATGTATAAACTATTGTATATATATCCTAAGTAGTGCTTTCCAGACATGAAAAAAAAGCAAGCTGAAATTTATTGACTACGCCAAACAGAATGGGAGATGCAAATCTATCCTTACACCACTTCACCCCAACACAATATGCATATAAATCATCTGCAATTTTTAAAATTCGATAAAATCTTTAAAAAATACATTTATGTATACACTAAATCCAAATTTAATTCCATTACAGCAACAAATTTCTTCTTCTCTTTCCATCTCCCTCATTTTTTGAAACCAATTAGTTACAATAAATAACTTGTTGCATCAAATAAACAAAAGAAAAAAAGCACAAATAAAAAATGAAATGATTAATTTCATTTTTATTTGCTTACTTTGTTTTTCTTATTTTTATTTGCTTATTATTTAATTACTTACTTCTAGTTTAAGTAAGTTGTTTACAAGTTGAGAAATAATATTTTTAAATCATGCAGATCATGAAAGCAATTTTATATTGTCATAAAAAAATTTAAGAAGGTCTCCTAAAAAGAAAGGCAAAGTGCACAATGAAGGAGGCAGTAGAGCCTGCCTCAGGTTAGGGTAAAAACAGCATTAAAGCTTTAAATTTTCAAAACAAGCATTTCATTGTTAAGAATTATTATACAGGTAAAAATTCAATACTTAACTGTGACTGCTCATACAGAACCTTCAGGTAATCATATTCATCTCTTTTTGATGGCCACAGCTGATCAATGCTCTTGTTTTGTTGACTTTTTATTTTACCAAGTTTTGTAGTAAGTTCCAGTACCTCATTTTTAGCATTAGAAAGAAGGCTTTCTAGTTTTTCTATGTAGGTTTCCTGATAGGTACGACTAGACATACTCAAAAGGATTGCCATTTGACCCTGAAAAATATTCAAAAGTTCTATTGCAAGCAAAATTAATCAGCTGCAAACTTCAGAAATCAAGTACTTCAGATATCAAGCAAGAAATAGATATACTTATCATAAGTGAAATTTCTGAGATCTCAGATTCTATGGAAATATTTTTCCCCGTCATAATGTGATTATTAAAATTTGCACTATAAATTTTTAAGAGTTGAATTGAATTGTTATGTCAAAACACTCAAGGGTTGCCTACTTAAAGGGTGTCTTTGTACAGGATTTTATAAGAACAACTGGACACTTATTCTGCAATCATTAGATTTCAACCACTGTAGTGCAGATAACATTGCTTAAAAAAGCTGCTGTTTTCTCCGCATCCAACTTTACGAAGAAAACCATTCTGTGCTTCTTAGTCTGCAAGTAGTCAAGTCCATTTGACTATACTGAGAGCAGACAAGGCTTTAAGCAGCTTTAGACATTACAGCAACTGGAGCAATCATTTAGACTTCTACAATGTCACCGAGGGTTTTGAGAATAAAACAAAGTATCAAAATAGAAATATAATTTTAAAATGCTGGAATTAAAATATTTCAAAAACAAACAGGTTTGAATTTGTTTCCTTATATGTCATTTTGACATTTTTTTAGTTACTTGTTTATATATGCTGGAATTAAAATATTTCAGAGTTTAAATTTGTTTCCACTGTACAGATAATTAACATAGTTTAACAGCACAGCAGCCAAAAATTTAAGAACATTTTATTCTTGTTTCGCTGTGGGCATGTCAGTGGTGTTGCTACAGCTTTTGCTGAACAGACTGTGGTACTTGAATTTACCATCCTCCTTGATATACAAACAAATAACTAAAATAGTGTCAAAATGACATATAGGGAAACAAATTCAAACTCTGTTTGTTTTAGAAATATTTTAATTCCAGCATATACAAACAAGTAACTAAAAAAATGTCAAAATGACATATAAGGAAACAAATTCAAATCTGTTTGTTTTTGAAATATTTTAATTCCAGCATTTTAAAATTATATTTCTATTTTGCTACTTTGTTTTATTCTCAAAACCCTCGATGACATTGTAGAAGTCTAAATGATTGCTCCAGTTGCTGTAATATAGACAATATAGAAAGATTTCTTAAATGCAAAATAAACATTTATTTAAACAACTTTCTAAATTATTTTTAATTGAAACACAGCTTCTCTTATTCTTCTCACAACCAGCAGCACTTATAATAATTGTAAGAAAAGTTTGCAACAGTATTACAATATTTTGAACTGTATTCTAAAGACTGTATTTTAGAAAAAAACTGCAAAAATTCAAAAGAACTGCCCTTCCACATTTTTCCCAGCACTAACAGAAATATAACTTTTGAAATACTTCTCTTGTAACAAGGAATTCATTATTAATATCACTGCGATCATAATTTAGTCAATATTCGTAATTTTCCTTCAAAAGTAGGTCATTAATTGTAGTCTATTGCCCCGCCAGTTGTATGAAATCAATTTTCAAATTTCCAGTTGCTGCTGCAGTCAGGAAAAGAAAATATCCTTAATATATTCACAACAAAGTTAACGTGTTAATTACATGCATTACCATTGCAGTAAATATTCACAAGAAAAAAATAATAATTTAGTAAAGCATCCATTTCAAATTTTGCTTTCCTTTAAAAGTATAATGCATAATATTGAAAGATAAATAATGTTTTAAATAATTATTTAATACACGTACAAATTTATTTTAGAAGGAGGTGGTTTATTATGGTAAGTAACAGCCTGTGTTGAGAAAAATGCTCAACATTCACACTGTATATAAGAAAAAAACCTGAAAGTTTCTACACAGCTGAACTGTTTTATCACAAACATTGACAGCATTTTCGAAACCCACACATTTGGTGACTAAAAGATTAAATTTATAAAAGAAAGATGATAAAGTAATAGATATATTATTCTTAAAAAAATAATATTGTAGTATATCCTTAGAAAATCAATCAGTTAATTAGGAGATAATTTTATATGAAGTTTTATTAATACCTAATAACAACATACAGAAAATGATCAAACTGAAAAAAGGAATTACATTAAATAGTTTTGAAAGTCCACAGCCTGAGTTAAAACAATCACATCTCACTTCTGCAGCTCGTGTGCATTGAACTGAGTATTTTCTCTATATCATCGATACGGCGCGCTGTCGATGTTATTCATTTGTTACAGTCTCCCCCTCCCTGTCTACGAAGACATGTCGGTGAGTAGCCAGAGGAAGAATTGTCTTGTTGGTTCTTTTGCGCAACATTCTTAGAAATTTTCTTTTTTGGTCTCCATTTCGAAGTGGAGTGCTTCTTCGTGAGATTACTCAATGATCTTGAGATCTCTGCAAAATTAGGAATGTAGCATCGATACCAGCTGCAAATCTGAGAGACGCTCTGTACTTGCATCACATTCTTTGGTGAAGGAATTTGTTGAATGACTTTTACTTTGGCACAGTATATTTCAATTGTAGAACTTGTGATATAGTGTCTGAAATATTTCACTTTAGAACAAGAAAAATGACATTTGTTTCGATTGGTATGAAGCTTAAGTTTTACGAGTCAATCAAACACTAAACGCAAGTCTTCGAGATGCTTCTCAAAACTAGAAGACATCACAATAACACCATCGCGATAAGTAAGAGTGTTGACCTTTAACCTAATCTTTCGAAAGTGGCTGGTGCCATCTTTAATCCAAAAGGAATCCTTGTGAATCTATAGACTCCAAACTGACATACAAAAGCACTTTTGTCTTTGTCCGGAGGGTGCATCTTAACTTGGATACCCTGTCTATGGTAGTCTATGGTATGGTATAAGTCTATGGTAGACATGTATCTGGTTTGCTTCACGGTATGAAGAAGTTCATTCATTCGATGCAGAGGGCATGGATCAGACTTAGTCACAGAATTCAGTTTCCTGTAGTCAATACATAATTGAAAGTCACCGTTCGGCTTGGGAACTAAAACAACGGGTGCTGCATATGGTGAGTCGCACTCTTCGATTACGCCTGATGCAAGAAGTGCATCAATTTCTTTCTTTAAAATATCCTTTCTTGCTGGAGACAGTCTGTAAGGGGTTGTAGCCATTGAAGGTGAGTCATCTGTATCAATCTGGTGCACGATGTAAGGAGTTGGTTCTCCCCCCCCCCCCGGGGAGAACGTAGTTTCGTATTTTTCCAATAAGGCACTCAATCGTTTTCGCTGCTCTTCAGTTAGAATTTCACCTTCGTCTGAACATAGTAGGCACAGATTTTTAATATGTCACAGGATTCGACTTGAACTCTTTCAGCAAATGGAAAGTATTGTTTTGGAATATCACCGAAAAACCCCTTTTGCTCACGAATATTTAGAACTACTCCAGCTTCTTTTAGGAAGTTTTCTCCAAGCAGTGTTTGATTATCTGTAGCACAAGGAAGAGCTATCAGTGTCAAAGGGAAGGTCCGTCCTTTAAGGCCAAGTTTCACACAAGTTGTGTAAATATCTTTCATTGTTTGACTGCCGTCAGCATAACAAACAGTGCAAGAAGATTTCTCGAACTTCATCTTCTTTTAAGATTTGTTAGAGTTTTTCACCAGCGATTGAATGACTTGCTCCACTATCCACATAAGCCTGTGCCATATATTCCATTGATGAGATATCCATGACTGTAGTTGTCTTAGTGTTGCCTAACTTTTATACACAAATATTGTCAATAGCTTTAAGTCAAGATTACTTATCTTAATTATACACATTGGGATAGATGTTAGCAATGCATCTCTGGGGTACGAAGATCCATTCCTTTCGCATAAGACAACAAAATGGTTATCACAACATCTGTATGAAGTATTCTGAAATAAAAGTAAATTCAATGTGTTCTGCAACTCTATAAGTTTTCGAATTTTAAATGTATTTAAATTTCTCCTTCAGTCCTTAGATATCATTGATAATTTTAAGCACTTGGGATCATATAAAAGAAGTCAACTTTGTAATAATTGGTAATAAATACTACTGGTTCATATTACACAGAGTTCACACATTTGTCAAAAATTAATATCAATTAAAATTCTAATGCTTCAAATAATCAAATATTATTCAATAGTTTTAAGCACTTGGGATCATATAAAAGAAGTCAACTTTGTAATAATTGGTAATAAATACTACTGGTTCATATTACACACAGTTCACACATTTGTCAAAAATTAGTAACAATTAAAATTCTAATGCTTCAAATAATCAAATATTATTCAATAGTTTTAAGTCAAGATTACTTATCTTAATTATACACATTGGAGTAGATGTTAGCAATGCATCTCTGGGGTAAGAAGATTCATTCCTTTGATATAAGACAACAAAATGACTATCACAATATCTATATGAAGTATCCTGAAATAATAAATTCAATGCTTTCTGCAACTCTATACTACTGCCACGATTTGGGCACCAATTTTCTTTTGTATTAGTGCTTAAAAATCAAAATCAATAAGTTAGGAGATAATTTTGAATGATGTTTTATTAACACTTCACAACAACAAACAGGAAAACGATAAAAACTGTAAAAGGAATTACATTAAATAGCTTTTTTAAGTTCAGAGCGTGAGTTCAAACAACCACATCTCACTTCTGCAGCTCACATGCGTTGAACTGAGTATTTTCTTGCCGACGATATTCATTTGTTACAATACATTATTTTCCTTTTTTTTTTTTTTTTTTTTTTTTAAATTTAGAGAACCTGAACTCCAAGGCAAGACATTATTGTAAATTATACAACTGATTATGCATATATTGATTTTTTAAAAATATTATCCATTTTCTTAATAATTTTCAATTGGTAGCAGTAGTAACACGAGAAACTGGTCTGCTAGCAGTAGGTTCTCTGATTAGCAAGCAAAGTTCATTTGCTATGGACTGCTGGTATGTTGTACTAGTAAAAAAACCTTAAGTCATATAGTACATAAAATTATGACAAATAACTTATAAAATTAGCATCTGTTGATTTAGGCCAACAAAAGCCCATTGATTCACATTGATTGTCACAAAGGGTAGCACCCGAACTAAAATGTTAGATTTGGTCAAAACGAGCCAATAACTTTTCCCAGTCACTCTTTAAGTATGCAGAATGTAAAGAATGATCAGATTTCCCTATGCATGCTCTCGTGATGTAAGTGGTTGACATATCCAACAGGCAGTTGGAAGATCTGTGGTTCAAGTACCAGCAAGGGAATGGTTATATTTTCCTGTCTGAATTATTTATTATGAATGATGAAAACAGCAATGAGTATGCTAAATGTGTGGTGCAATTGAAATTATTTGTGATATAAATCCTTAATTGGAACCTAATAACAATTTTGCTCTATCTGTACAAATATGCAAACATAAATCTCAATGTGATTCCTATTCATTCATATAATTATTAATAAGATCAAATATTTCTTTAGCTGTAGTTTTTTTTTTTTTTTGGGGGGGGGAGATATTTCCATAGCAGAATATCTTCTTGGACTGTAGAACTCAAAACACAATGGACCAAGACTACAAAAATAGCCAAACAAGTAACAGCCAACCAACTACAATATTGGCAGGGAGAAGATTTTGAATGAAATAGTAAATCTTCAAAAAATGTGCCACTGTATCAATTTGTTGCACAACAGTAGTATCAGAAAATGGCAAGTTATCAATTTCTGTAAGATATTTGCTGCCAAATTTGCAAGCTATTACATAATAAATATGCGCCTTTATTAACCTTTTGTCAATCGTATATGCCTCATCTTCCACAGCAGTTTGATAACTAATATGAAAAGAAGCCTCAAGAGAAGTTTGATTGTTGTAATATATGTATTTTGAAAACATTTAAAAAAAAAATTAGTTTGTTATGTTTACATTCAAAATCGATGTTTTTATTGCAAAAATATGGATGAGATGATATCCTATGTGCCTTTTTAATTTAGAAGGATTTAAGCTTGTGTTCACAATGATTTTTGTCACACTCAACATACAGTCCACTGGTCTCATCTTCATATCCTGTCTAGTTTAAGCAAAGCCAAATGCTAACTAACTGCCATTATACTTTCGGATTTCTTTATTGCCAAATAAATATCCGGACGATGGAGCTGATGGAAATACCCATGGATCATTTACTATTGATGACTGCTGTTCAGTGTCAGTAGCGTCATTTACTGTCATCAACACTGACCACTGTTGTTTTCTTTTCAAAATCTGGATTAGTTAAAATGAATAATTTATAAAAAAACATCAAAAACGTTGCACAGAATATATTAAAAAAAAACTAGAAGTAATAGCAAGGAATACAGCTTTATTCTTAGTTAACAGAAATATTTAAAAACTAATTTGACTAATTATAAAAAGTAATGAAAAGTAAGTATCTCCATTAATGTTAGTTCTAAAAGGAAACATCTTCATAGTTCATTAGTAATAATTTAATTAAAAAATATCACAGTACAAATATTTAAAATACCAAAATCATTTCTAATACTAAGGGCATTCAAAAAAAATGTAAAGTCTCCAGCATGAGACATTGTTGGCAGCGATAGCACATGCATACAAACACACCTACCCCCCCCACCAGAGACACAAAAGAAGGAAAACAAGCAAGTGAGCTTGCCTTTAGATACTCGCAGTCATACAAACTCTGCAGTAAACATGAATCTATTCTGCATACACAGCGACTGAGCAATTGATGGAGTTATTTTCATCCATATCACCGCCGACGTCCCCTTACGGACAACAACAGCCCACACACGAAGCTTCTGATTAATTTTCAAAAATAACTAAATTATCTTTATGTTTTTTAGTTGATAAACACTATTCAACTAGTGTCAGTGTTTTATAATCTTCTCTTTGAAGTTTTATTTTGAGTTGTGGAATCCCAGGATTTAACTTAAAAGTCTGAAGACAAGAGTACCTTAGAGAGATCTTAGAACATCAAGAATATCACCTGAAAACTTTAACTACATTAGTTAATAATAAGAATTATATCACTCTGTATTGTGTCTATGGATATAAAAATATAAGCATCTAATTAATTTACATTAACTGCTTGACTACGATATGTATCACAAATGATTCACAATGGGCTTATTTTCTGGAGATGGGTACATCAAATGTGATTCAAAAGTTTTTATATTGTTCAAAGCCATGCAAGTGACCAGTGTTTCAGAAACACAGCGAATTATACAGTTAAAATTATTTCTAAGGACTCGGAAAGTTGATAAGTATTACTGGTTTTTTCTGGAAAGGAAAGCTTCTGGAAAGGTTTTTTTTTTCATAAAATGTTATATGTTTTAAATATATATATATTGCTGTAGTAACTTTTGAGTAATTATTATTTATGTAGAAGTAAAACTAGGTACTGAAATGAATTTTAAGATAAATGAAACAAGAAAACACTAGAATCAGAGAAAGGCCTGACAGAGTGTTTTACCAGATTTTGCTATGGCAATCATTGCATTAAAATTACATATACTAGAAATAAGCAAAGTTATAAAAGATAATGATTTAGTATTGCTTTTTACACGATAACTAACCAAATTTCTTTAGATATATTTATATATATATAAGACTAAAATAAATAACATATAAATTTTTCATTTTTATTAAAAAAAATTAATGTTTCTTGCTTCTTATAATTTATTACTGTTTAATATGCTTCTCATACCTTCTCTGGTATTCGAACCTGGGCACTTCAGTATGGCAGTCAGCATCGCTAACCACTATCCTAGTTGTGCGATCCTAGCTGGTATGTTTGTAAATGTAGTGTCATTGTAGCATGGGGAAATATATGGCAAGCCAAAAGTCTTCTTGAGAGATTCGTGGTAGGGAAAGAGGGGGAGATCCCCGGACTGGTCCCGCGGGGTGCTCTCTTTCAAAATTGGGGGCAGAATCGAGCAAGGTCGTACTGTCACCTATATGGTGATTAACCCCTTAACTGCTGCGGAAAACGTACAAGATTCATTTCCCAGTGCCACGGTTTTTCACACAGATGCGCATAGTTATGCAAATGTATTAAGGGAAAAATAAATGCAAGATTTACTATCTAAAAACTGTCACAAAGAATAAAAGAAAAAATGAATGCACAAAATTTAATGTTTTGAGTAAAAGTATAATAAAAAGATTAAGTTTTGAGTAAAAGTATAATAAAAATGATGTTTTTATAATAAAAAAGATCCCTAAAATGGAGTTTCGATCAATTCACATTTAGACCAGTAAAGTGTAATATCAGGTTTCGGTGTTATACCTTGTGAAATCAGTGTGCCTAAAAAAACATATATTTCTTCTGAACTGGTTGAATGCTACGATTTTGTTCTTGATTTTTCATTTGCAAGGTGTTGGTTCATATACTCGCCTACAAAACGGTTAGTTTCAGTATCAATATGAAGCATGAGCAGTCATCAAAAAATAATTCAAAAAAGATAAATGGGTTTGAAACATACATTATATCTTTCTTTATTCCTGGAAGCTACTACAAAAAGTAAACGAAAACGGAGGATACAGAAAAAAAAATACGCTTTACTCAACCAATAACAGCCAATACTGCGCAGTCATTACTTTCACCGCTTTAGACACACCCCTCTCTCCAATTTCTCCCACATTTCTCTGAAATAGTATCCTCCTTCGTCAAGGTCATTGTGGTGTTTCATTCCAGAGCTTTGCGAATAATTTTACGGGTAGCAGCGCAAAGCAAAATGATAGTAGTTTGGAAGGGTGTATATATACGCCCGCGGCAGTTAAGGGGTTAAGGTTCTTGCCGACAGGCACTATCCAGACCTTGCTACAATGAATTTTATGGGCTTGATTTGATATCAGAGACCTGATTATATGTTGCTGTCAATCGTGTGGGATAAGCCACAAACAAACAAAAAATATGCTTCTCATTATTTTGTACTAATTAGAAATTTTGGCATGATACAGTACTTCATTATAATTTATGAAATTAAAGTAATAATAAGATGATTATTTACAACAGAATTAAAACTTCTAAGCAGTGAACAAATTTCTGTTCCTTTAAAATAACTACAAGTTATATAATTTGCAACAAACAAACAAAAAAATATACAAAAATTAACCACGTACAGAAATAATATACAAGTTTCAGTTACCCTACAATTTGAAAGTTCTCGCCTATTATCATCATACGTTTTTAACATATTACGATATTTGTGGTCAAGTAGCTTGTAATTCTTCTCAACCAGTTTTCTTCTGTCATCCAATTCTGCGAAAACTGAATTCCCACGACGGTTCACATCAACTTGCTCAAATTTTAGCAGCTCAATTTCTGCTTGTAATTCAGCTACTTCATCTCTAGCTTTCTGTAAACATATAAAATATTTACTCCAAAAATAGGAAAAATTTTACTCCAAAATCATTAAACAGTTAAGAGGTTAAGTACACCTTAGATTACATAAGATTGATATTATGAATGCGACATAAACCTATACAAAGCTGAAAATTTTTTAAATTGTTAAATAACAATTACTTACTCAGTATCATCTCTGTAAAATGTTCTAATAGCTAATCAACAAAAACAAGATCCATATACAACCATAGATGTTCGCAGGTGCAAACTGAAAAACTTAGAGCTTCCTATGGCTTTTGAAACTTTGAATTTTAAAATTAAGCAGCATTCAACCTTATATAGATATTATTTTCAAATAAAATACTGGCATGTGTTGACTCTCTGCACTCAAAAGAGGATTTTGCTCACTGTGTTTTGTGATAATCATAAGAATTACATCAAAGTTTTATTATACGATTTTACATCACTAGCAGGTGAACTTAAATTTAAAAAAATTAATAATTAGAAATTAGGTCATTTCTCTTTCTGTTACCTAAAATTGAATATTTTAAATTTACTTTAAGCATAGCACATTAAAATAACATACATATTGTTGTAAATTTCATAACAAATATTTGTTTATATAAATTATACATATTTTGCTTTCATCATATGTGGTCAATTCTTTAGATGTGTTCTCGGGAAAAATTCATTGCATTTGTATTTGCTTGATAAGATAATCCTCTACTTTTTTTGTTTTAAACGTCAAAGGTAAAGCTTATTTTAAAGCTAATTCGATTAATCTTTTTCATAGCTGGAATGTAGATTACATAGCCTTTAGTACAGGCCTTTTCCTGCCTTTTTTTATTGCATTTCTTCCTATTCTGCTTTGGAATCAGGAAACAAGATGTGCTACTAAAACATAAAATCATGGCTTAAACTAATTTTTGATTCTTCTAAAGCTCTTAAGGATTTTATCAATTGATTGTGATATCAGTATATTTGTATCTAGAAAATTAATAAGTTCTTTCCAGTTCTTCAGTCAAGTAGCAAATATCTCAAATACAAGCAATAGAAACAGCATTCTTCTGTACTTCTGTCTGTTAATTACTTTCCATCATATCAAGAGTCTTTCTGTTTGACCATTCTGTCATGGCAAATATACTACTCTGTTGTGACTCTCAGTTCCTGTTTCCTTTCAGATGTTCTTTAATCTTATTTGTATATGCTTCCTGTATTAAAATTTGTCTTTCCCCTCCTAGTTATTTATTGTGATTACAAATCCGTTTAGTTCAGTACTGCTTCCACTTTTGTAGTAAGCAAACAGATGTTTTGCTGTGAATAATTCCATCACTAAAAGTTATAAAATACATCTTTACAGCTAACAATATGATAGCCATGTGTATCACTATTAAAATTTGTGTATCCCTGTATTACTTGCCTTTCATATCGTTTTTGAACCAATTTATTTCTAACACAATACTCATACACTGTTTCTTCAATTTTTTTAAAATTTTTACTCCATTTACTTAACTTTTCCAGATCACACAGACTTAACTGGTTTCAAGGTTCGTACACATTTTTTGCACATGGATTTTAAGGACTTTTAAGGACCTTTAAGGATCATTAATGAAAAAAATTAAGGAACTGTTAGCAGAGAAAGTTTAAATAAAGCAATTATCAATCACTCAAACTTCACTTTCATTCTAAGAATAAAATAAATCTGAAAGTAGGATACATTATTAATAAACATAATCTAATATTTAATATAATTACACATGTAATTTATTATATTGTTACTAAAACGATATTAAGATAATTACACTTAAAAAAACCACAAAACATATATATTCTATCACAACAACTCACAACAAAATATATAAGCATCTTTTTAATTTGAAGATTTTTCCAGATATTTAAGCTAATTTACATCATTCTTCTCTTTAGCATCTTTTCTTATTTATATCAGTAAACAAATCAATGCTCCAACTAGTTTCTGTTTCATCCCCTAGTACATTAATATTTAAACAATATACCTTTGAAGTATAATTTTCTTTATAAATTTTCTTATATAAAAATATTTCCTATTGCTTTCAAAATTAGGATTACTGATTATTCATCAACCTCTTTCATACAACAGAATTTCATTTTAATGTGTTTTATAATAATGCATTAATATGTTTTATATAAATGCTCAGATGATTTACGAAAATATCAATTCATAATTTTCATTTAGGAAGGATTAATTTCAATATGGTACTACCTGCGCAAAATGTGGTAAATTATCATCAAGTAGAATGTAAAATAAAACTTTTATTTGGGTAGGGGGAGATCCATTTTACTTTGAAACTCAGAAGATGAAAAAGTATATAAATTATATCAACAACACTTGATTTATGTTGACAATTATTGACACATAAAATATGATTAAGAATTAATTAATGTTAATAATTAAGAAGAAATTAAATCTATGGGCATTCTTCTACTGAAACAAAAACATGATGCATTCTTACGGATAACAGAATAATCCATTCTTTGCAAGAGGTGCAGCTTATCATTAATCTCACTACTGCTGCAATTCAGTATAAATAACTGACACAACAAAGTGATTTATATATAAAAAAGCACATAAATATATTTATTAATTAAAGAATATTACAAAAGAATGTATGTAAACATATCTATGTTTACACTGAAAAAAAATTAAATGGAAAAAAAAAAAAATGCAAATTCAAATCAACTATAATTTTACTTGGATATTTTTCAGTTCATGAATATGATAGAATTTAAATAAATAAAAAAAAATGAGTTTGAAAATATTTAGAACTTTTTTCCACTTACTTTTACTTCAGAAGAGTAATCTGAAAGCTCTTTATCTCTCTGACAAATATTCTCCTCTAATTCTTTTACTATTTGTCTTAATCTATTTTCCGACATTTTTGCCTCATCCAACTCATACTGTTGTCTAATCAAAGCATCAGCCAGTTCATTCTAGAAAACAAAAATTTTAAATGCATAGCAAATTATAGATGGTATATTATATTAAATAAACTTAAAATATATTTAGAACATACTTAAAAATAATAAAATCTTAATTTTTTAATACAACAGCCCCCAATATTAATAGATAACATATTTTCAAATCTACTAATCTTAAATTTAATTGATCAACTTGTAGCTCTAACTGGTTTTGCTAAATTTGGCAAATAAGTTAGTCATATAATGTTAAGTCATTTTTTGAATTAATCAACTAACTTCCATATTAACAGGGTTCGTACACATTTCTGCACATGGAAATTAAGTACTTTTAAGGAACCATTAATGAAAAAAAATTAAGGACCTATTAGCAAATGAGAACTGAATAAATTCACTTAAAAATAATATCTATGCCTGAATTTCACTTTTGTTATACCACCCCAAAAATAAAATAGATCCCCAAGTAGGATGCATTATTATTAAACATGAATTAATTAACATAATTATTAATAAATTTGAGATATAAAATATAACTTTATACAATTTATCAAATAGCATTAAATATTTTAACACTTATAATAGTTCAGACATATTTGAAAGAAGATACGTGACATTTTACATTTATGTTTTATTGACATCGTTAGCTTTCATGTTGATTTTTTAATGTCTCATTTAGTCACATTACTTGCTCAATCTAGAGGTTTAGTAAATAGCAGGTAGATTTTATGTCAAGCATCATAGGTTAAAATCAGAGAAGTAAAATCATAATCAAGAATGATTTATAACAAAAGACTGGCTGTTGTCACCACTGCTCCTTGTCTAAAGAGAGACCTGCAGACCAGAACAAAACTGAAAGGCCTGATGTGGGCACGGTTAACTAGTTTTTAAAGTTAGTTAGGCTCTGTCTGTTGCAGTTAGTGTCATAGCTCCATGTAGAGTTCCAGGGAATGTAATCCAGTTAATATATTTTAAGGTTCCAATAAGCCACTAAAGCACCAGAGGTGACACTAATCTGCTTTGTATTACTTTAGATCTCACTACATACGAAGAATAAGTTTTACATGAAGTTTTACATTTTTGTGTTTTACTTTGTACCACGCTAAGAAATAATGAAAGGCAATAACTCACTTTAATATGCACAGATAATTTTTTAGGGTAAGTTAGTTCTAAATTAAATTAGACAGTTAGATAACCTTAGTCATTATGGATTTACATGACCACTATTAAATTTTACCTATTTTTTAACAATACTGTTAAAAGTCCCTATTAAAATCCCAATCTAATAAAATTTCGCACTTTAAAATGCATGCAATTTATGTCATTGATTCTTCAATGATATTAGGATAATTATACATTTAAAGCTACAAAACATTTATGTTTTATAGCAACAACACTCGACAAAATATTTATGCTTCTTTTTAATTTGAAGCCTGGCCAGACATTTTGGCTAATTATATCGATTTCCTTCTCTTTAAGCCTCTTTACTAAGAATTAGATATTTCTCTCAATATGCAAACCAATGTTCTCATTAGTTTCTGCATGCTTTATCTCCTAACTTGTCAACCTCTCCACAATGTACCTATGAGGGTTTACTTGATCTGGTAAAGGTTAAATAGTTCAAAAACTCCCAATAGGCGTGAAGCAAATTATCGCTATGTCTCAAAGTAACTACAAAGTCAGACAAAGGTTTAAATACGCCTCTTATTTAAAAAGAACTTAAAGGTATGTTCTTATGCTAACCAAATCAATTAAAGTTTGGGGTGATGTAATTAAACAAGAACAATCAAATTCAAACAAAAAAATGTGGACTAGTGGTCAAAGACTATTCTTAAATTTAACGCATTTATATCATGCGGTCATTAAACCTTCTTGCACAACGACAAAATTAAGAGTAGTTTTTGATGAATCCTGTAAATCTGAAAACGGTATATCATTGAATTCTCTTTTTAGGGGTAGGTCCGAAATTACAAAGAGATATTTTTGAGATTTTGATTAATTTTCGATTTCCTAAAATTGTTTTCACAGCTGATGTGGAGAAGATGTATCGTCAGGTGATGGTAGCCCCTGAAGATCAGAATTATCAATTGATACTTTAGCGATACAATTCCAGTGATGAAATGCATACGTACAAGTTGAAACAGTTACGTATGGTCTTTCCTCTGCTTCATTTTTAACAACTCGATGTCTGAAGCAGGTAGCTTTAGATTCTAAAGAGTAATCAGACGTATCTCGTATATTGGAAGAGGATATGTATATGGACGACTTATTGTCGGATGCAAATACAGTTGATGATGCAGTATCTGTCTGCAAGAAAATATCTTCAATTTTACATGCACATAGTTTTGATTTGAGGAAGTGGAATTCAAATTCTGTAGAATTCTTAACTGAATTTAAGGAACATTGTTCATTGAATTCTGATTTTGAAACATCTCCTAATTCGAGTTCGAAAGTCTTAGGACTTTTTTGGAATTCAACTACTGATACCTTCAGTTTTAAAGCTGCACTGCATATCAACGCACCTATAACAAAGAGATGCATATTGGCAGAATCTGCTCGCATTTTCGATCCTTTAGGTCTCTTATCTCCTTGCACTATATTGATTAAAATATTATCAAAAACTATGTTTAGTTAAAGGCGACTGGGATTCAGTTGTTCCCCAGCATATCTCAGATGATTGGTTTAAATTTCAAGAGACATTCAGTCAAATGAATAATTGTGAAATTCCGAGATGTGTCATACTTACAACGGACAGTGTTATCCAACTACATGGATTTTCTCTGATGCATTCTTATTTGATCAAACTTATCAGCTAGCTTAACTTTAACTTATCAGCTAAAATGTGTGGAACTGATATAGATAGCAAACTTACATCATGAACCATCCTAGAATGTCTAATCATGTTTTGATACAGATATGTTTTTGTACAAGATTTGATCAAGGAGCCTAGATGGACTTTTAAGAGAGTATGGGGATTGAAAACTAAGGTTAAACATTGAAAAAGGATGTAGGTGTGTCCTTTAGTCATTTTAATATAAAGCATTATTCAAGTCATTAGAGAATTGAGGGCCTACTGGCATTTTTATACAAGCTCTTTTGATCCTTCTTCTAAGAAACTGTACACACTATATAAATTGCTTTTCTCAATTTTCAAGAGAGAACATGAATAAAAAAAAGTGGAAAGGAACATGCAAGTAATTACAGAATTTAGTTTTTCTAAATTCTATTGTACTTAGTTGTAGACCTAAAATATCTATGTATAAGAATAATTTATTTACTAAAGAAATATTGATTATATTATCTCATAATATAAATTTAGTAGAAGTATCAAAAAAGAGTGAATTCGTATGTAGGAAGTTTAATTCTGAAAATTGTGTTTTAAAGTAACTTGAATGTAAATTATTAAAAATGTTTTACGGGGACTTGAATTAAATCATGAATAACAAAATTTCAAACTTTGAAAAAGAAATTAAATTAAAAGCAAGTAATTATCGATATTGATCGGAAATTAGTCGACTTTTTAAGGGAACAAACCAACTCATGTTCAATGAACAATAATTAATAAATACAAAGGTGTTTTGTCTTTTACTCAAGTAAGAATGATGATGCCAAACTGGCAAATGAGGTTAGGCCAAATAGTTCCGTGAAGTGACATATACACATTAATTTTCAGAAAACATGATGAAATGAATTAAACAGAAGGGACAAAAAACCTTACTTACATTTTTAATAATGTAGGAATTCAAATCAGCCTGCACTTGAGATAAGTCATGACTAGAGCTTTCATATAAAGATACTTCAAGGTGATTTTGATATTCTTTAACTTGCTCTCCTTGCATTTCAATTCTCTTCTTAAGAATGCTGTTCTCCAGCTGCATAGCTTCTTCAGTATTTTTAAATTCATTACACTAATTAGAAATGAATCATGATTAAGACAAGAAAGAAAATAAATTTTGAAAAATCTGAAAATATAGCTTAGTTTGTTTATAACAAGCACCTGATGACTAATGATGTTTCTTTAGTTAAACACCTTGAAATGCATTAAGAAATCTTTTTAAGATTTCCTCGCAGATACTTTTAATTTTTTCAACAGTAAGACAAACACAAAAGTCTACACATAAAGTAAAATAATTACAGTTTTTTAGCTCATTGCAGTTGTGGTGTTATCTCCTGGGTGTAACTCAACCATCACTTGGGCAACATTCTCAGTGATGAGAGATGATTAAAAGACCAATCAGTTTTGGCCATTCCCTACGAAGTTTAAATTGCAAGTGTCTGGCATTTTTTTTTTAATAATAATTTAAAAATAAAACTCTCTACAACATTTTGATTAGTTAACATTAAATTAAGAATATAGTTTTCTGAAACATTTATATTTTACCCTTATAACTGTCAAATATATTTTTAAGAAGATTTATACTGTCACCATTAAAAATTATTTTATTATTTTAAAAATTATTCACTGAAAGAATCTAAGGAAATTTTGCAGTTTAAATTAATAGATAATTACACAAATTTATTATGCCAATTTTAAAAGGCTATTAAAACAATCGTGTATATAAAAAGATGCAAAAAATTCATAACACCACAAAATCTGAAAACATTTCAGATTAAAATGACCATAAAGATTATAAGAGTAAGTTTATAAAGACTAGTAATTTTTTTAATGAAAGATTAGATTCTAATTAAATCTTTTAAATATAAATAAAAGTTTAAGACTGTAAAGATTATTTTAGATTAAAAAGACTATAAACATCCCCTGCTACTTTTTTTTTAAATTTTGGTAGCCAACACAAAAATTGTCTCAAGAGATAAGCACCAAGGTCGAATCTTTTTTTAATTTTTTTTTCTCATTATTTTCCATTCATTTATTTTATTTCATAACATTTAAAAAAGCAAAGGTACTACTCGGTTTTGAGGGCCATAAAAAATCGCCAAACTATTGTTGATGCCAGTGCTGCTAAAAATAACTGCGGCAACCCTAACGCAAGAAAGGATAAATAACTAAGATTGATGTTTTAATTTAGATGAAAGGTTAATTTCATATAATACTCTTTTATTATTATAATTTATATAAAAAAGGCGAAAGATGACTGAATGGAAGGATAAGAGTAAATAACTATTTCAGATCATTATTAAAATTTATATAAAAATTGCTAAACATAACTGAATGGATGCCTGTATCGCTATTTCGCTACCGAGTTATCGCTAAAGCATAATTTCATCTCGTTGGTTGTCCAAACATAATTTTCTATAATGAACGATTTCTTTTCTTTGAAAAAATTCTCAGTAAAGTGCAGAATCGCCCACTTATTTGTTTGCCCGCTTTTTACAAGGGTTAAAAACAATTGCATTTTTGTCAATTTTCATTTACTTTTTAAGTGAAAATAAGTCGATGTGTACATAGATAAAGTCAAGGGTGTGTGCAGTGCCATTTTTTTGTGTAATTTTGGGATTTTTCTTTTTTAAGTGAAAATAGATCAATGTGTACATGGATACCGAGTATGTTCAATTCTTAAAAACGCGTCAAGTAGTGGGTGATTCTGCACTTTACCCAAAATTCTATTGCAGACTTTTCGTCATAGGCAATTCCCAAATTGTGAAATCCATAGGATATCAAAAAAGAATTTAAAAATTAAACTAGTATTTCAATGGCATCTTAAGAAATATAGAACTATATAAACTTACACAATCTGAAACCAGCACGTACACTAGATTTGGCGCTTTTGCGCATACATTTTTGCTGCAATTTTTTTACGGTCCTCAAAACGGAATAGTACCAAAGCAAAATATATATATAATATGCTGTAACTTTAAAACTTTTTTTGTACATGGCTTCAAAGAAACTGAGTAAGTAATTGCTTTAAAAATTACAAACTGTTCCATCAGAAAGCCATGTTGAAAGGTCACAAAATGAATAATGCCCTGATGCTTCAAAATACAATACAAAAACATTCATATTTATAAAAATTAAATTTTGCATTTTGTGGCTCATGGCCTACACCAGGCATTGAGAGAAGTATTTTATTGTACTGCTACCATTACTCCTATGCCAGGCATTTCAACACTGTACTTTACCCATCATATTTACCCTGATTAACTAGTGCTTATATGATTAATATTTTGAAGTGAGTTAAGCACTGCATATACTGATAATCATACTCTTGATAAAATGAAATATTCATTTCTGAAAAATTTCGTTTACGAAACAATAATTCATAACAAATATAGAACACACGTTAAGATTCAAAACAGAAAATCTAAATATTTAATTAAAGAAAAAACTATTTTTAAAGCATTCAGAACATAAAAATTTCCCCCACACAATTATTTTAACATTAAATTTATATTTCATAAAAATAACTTCATAAAATATCAAGATAAATGATATGATATTGATCTGACATTTCCATAAAAGTAAATCATTAAATTTTCCAGCACATTATACTATTATTGAAAAAGCATTTTTTGTTTCCACAAGGTTCTTTAAAAAAGTTATAATGCATTACAGTTTCATAATTGTATTGGTGATCTATCATGATACTGCAGGCTAAAGACATGTTCCATTGAATTCTGTCTTGCTTCAATCACATGCTAATGATGTTAAGCTTGAATTATATTAGTTATTATTAAATTCAGGATTATTTCTCTCAAATGCTTAAGCCTTATCTGAGACCTAAATAAATAAATTCCCACATATACTTAAGACTTATCAAGGGTCAGCATTAGACAATTTTTGGTCTGGAGCAATTCTGTCACCAAGTGCCTCCTTAAATTCCAAAAATTTTGCCTTTCCTTAAAATTCTGTTGTTTGGTGCTTCATTTAATTCTAAAAATTGTGTCTCTCATAAATTCTTCCACCTGCACTAGCTATGGTACTAATCCTGGGCTTATCTGAATCCCAGATCATTTATTCTCAATTCAAAGAGCCCTAAATGTAATATTTTGACCTATGAGTATCATTTACAAAATCTATTTTGAGTATGGAAAAAATCTCTGTTAAATTTCTTCTTGTTAACACATTCAAAACTTCAAAGAAAAGTCAGCTGAAGTCAGTAAATATCGCCAAGTGTAAAATCAACATAAATGGTTACCATGCTCTTTGATATTCAATTACTAATATTTAAAAAAAAAAAGAGAAATTGTTTAGACATTGCTATTGTTATGCGAGTCATTTGTCAAGCTCCAGTGTGTTGATAGTTATGCAATGATAAAAGCAAAAAATAATAGATAATTACTTGCCAGGTTGGCATCAGTGCAAAAGTGAAATTAAGAATCTGAACTCTTCACATGTTTTATTATGAAAAAATATCGAATTTGGTAGCATAAAGCATTAAAAAAAAAAGGAAAAGGTTGTTGGTGATCTAGAGGTCCAAATTTCAGACTTTGTACTATGGTAATTCTTAAAAAATGGAAATCTGCAACCTTTTGTTTCTAGCGAAATCAGAAATGTGCCAAATCAACATTCTCACAAAGGCCACTGCAGAAAACAAGTACATGATTGTTTTTTATAATTTTGGAGGAAATTTCTTCCACTCATTCAGCTTTTTTATCAAGAATTGCACTTTTTATATGTGCAACTGACCACTCAACTGCTGTGAAATAATTAAGAAATATGATATTTTAATTAAAAAGATAATTAAAAGTAAAGTATTTATTATTAATTGTATAAAAGCTCATTTTCATATTAAATGGCAGCAACACCTATGAAAACTGGCAATTAGTTAAACCACCTGAATAATAAATTATGATGCCTCCTACAATGGTAATAATTGCCAGCCCTCATAGATTATAAACATCTTAATAACACAATATAGAGGACATAAAAAATAGAATAAACTATCAGAATCAAAACCAATCCTTTACCTCTTTTGTAAGACTTTCAACTTTTTGTTGAAGCACTGAATTTTCTTTCCGCAATAATGAAACTTCTTCATATAAATTATCATATTTTTCTCTCTGACTTTCTAACTCAGCAGCCTGACACTTTGCAGTGTGGATTTGAGCATCCAAATCTATTTGCAATGAATGTCTTTCTTGCTCCAAAATCTAAAAAAGCAAAATTTATTTAAAATAGTTTTCAGACAAATGCTGTTAGTCTGCAGGTTACAAATGATCCAATTTCTACTCTTTAATATTTATGATTGGGCTCTTAGGGCTGTCCACAAGGTTATTTAATAATTAAATTAAAAATCTGAGAACTAGTTTCTTCCACAGAACTCAAAAACCTGAATTTCTTCCAATGGAAGTCCTGAATTTCTTCCAATGGAATCAAATCAAATTGTCATCAAGCAGTGAAATAAAACCCTGGTTCATCAGTACTTACTTTAGACCCTCTAATACCATCTCTTTCAACATATACCATAAATATATTTTCCTGCTTATTCTTCTATTCTCCCTTTAAAGTATTTTCTTTCTTCAAAATAGTTTATCCAGAAAAAATAAAGTGTGGATCTAATAACATGATACTGTTAAATATTTTTATTATTAAAAATGCTATTTCCTAATTATCTTGCTTCCCCCCCACACACACACCAAAAATTCAGGAATTCGTTGCCAACTTTGGAGAACATTTGCAACTTGTAGGTGACTCTGGAGAGAAATATTTATTTCAGTGTCTTTTAACAATGCATTCAGTGTCCTACTTTTTCATATTCTTCTCTTTCCATACAAGACATGCACACTTATCAGTTTTCTGCACTCTTGTTCTTCTCATGTTCACAGCAATCTATTTCTGCCTTAAAAAAATCAGAAGATTGCATACACTTGATATCACACACAATCTCAGGACCAAAATCCTAAAATGAGAAGGAAGAGCCACAAAAGGACCTTTCAGTAAGTCATATTATGATCTTTGTATGCAGAAAGCAAAGTCCAAAATTTCGCTGAAGATGACAAAAACTGCAGTTTGCAGTCCATTGCTGTCTTAAAATACCAGACCACAATCTGCAGTCAGAATGGCAAAAATATCTACAGATGTGGGAAGCTGTCTGGGAGGGATGCTGCATGCCTACCTGGGTTATCCAATTACATACTGTATTTTTGTGGCTTTTGGACAGAAAGCAAAGTCCGAGATTTCACTGAAGATGACAAAACTGCAGTACGAAATCCATCACTATGTTAAAATACTAACATTCTCACAGGAGGGACCATAATCTGCAGTCACAAAAATATCCACAGATGTGGGAAGTTGTCTGGAAGGGATGCTGCATGCCTACCTGGGTTATCCCATACATATTAGTTTTTGTGGCTTTAGAACAGAAAGCAACGTCTGAGATTTCGTTGAAGATGATAACTGTAGTGTGCGGTCCATTGCTATGTTAAAATATCAACATTCCCACAGAAGGGATCGTGATTTGAAATCACATTGGCATAAATATCCACAGATGTGGGAAGCTGTCTGGGAGGGATGCTGCATGCATACCTGGGTTATCCCATACAAATATTTTTTGACAACAGGGTGTGTTGCCTCCTCAATATTTTTTGTGGCTTTAGGACAGAGATGCAGATAATTAGAAAGTACTACCAGGAAAAAGTACAGTTTTCTTGTAATTTATTTTTACAGTAAAAGGATTATCATAACAATATGCAACTGCTGTTGCAAATGAGCCATTAATAATAACTATGTTATTATTATTATTATTATTATCATAATCATTATACCACCATTATTGTTTTTGGCATTTTTATATGAAATCCAAATTAACATATAAATCCAACTTCCGGGCATGTATGTTATTTGAATACTTATATATTAACATAGTACCTTAGTAGAAGTCACAAGAGTTTCAGAATCTGCCAAACTCTAGCCATTATACACGTACGAATTCTTCAGTCAAACTAGGTTGGCAGTTTTATATGTGTTCGAATAATTCAATGTTTAACTGTTTGGGAGATCATGATCACACTGAGTTTGTGCAATTCTCCATTTCTTTTTTCTTTTAGCAAAAACAGATCGTTGTATACATTGGTTTCTCCATATACAGAACAGAATACTGTTTAATAATTAAAATTTATATTTTGAATTACTAAAGAGTGTTTTATTTTGTATATATGTTGATAATGTTTGCTGAGGTATGATAAATATATTTTTTTTTTTCCCCTCAAGAGTAGTCAAAATTGCCATTTTGCACTCAATAAGTAACTTAACAAGTAAGTGAATTACGATTTATGTCATCATACTTTTCTTTTCCACAAAAATATCAACAAATTTGCACCGAGGTGGTTGTTTTAATACTTAAGTACAGTTCTTTGTAACCCAGTTCTCATAGTTTAGAAAACTGGACTACATAACATTATAATAGTAATACACATAACATAGCAATGGTAATATATTTTTGACAAATACTTTCTATAGAGAAAGTATCATTAAGTCTTTATTCCCAGCCTTTTAAATTTCAATCAAAGTACTAAATAAGCTATTTAAGGTAACAGGAATCGTGGTTTCAAACTCAAAAATTAAAATACAGTACAAAAGTCTCTAATCCGGACCTCAAAGCCACAAACTTACGCATGCACGTCTGATGCCCGTGTCCGCTACGCATGCGCGTAAAGCCAGTAAAGCGTTTACCCATGCGCACTTCCAATGGTGAAGAAAGTAATAGAGAATATTATTGAAAATGAACAAATTTCGCAAGTCGGTATTCTCAAGTCGGTATTTCGCAAGTCGGTATTTCGAAGTTGGTATTCTCGACACGGCGATTACAGGACTTGAACAGTGGAACTTTGTAACTGAAAAAGAAATCATGTCTGTTTATAGAATTAAAGGGGAAGCATTAGCACAAAAAACGAAGCAACTTAAACAACTTACATTGAAAGAAATGTTTACTAAAGTAAACAAATAAATATTAAGCTTTTTTTTTTTTTTGTAAATTTTGATACCCTTTAGATCATAATTGCTTTTTATTTTATAAATTATGGTTTCATATTTTTAATTGTATAATTTTTCCATGCCGTCTTACCAGATTTAAATTGATGATCTATAATCCGGAAAACCCTTAATTCGGAATCGCCGAAATCCCGAAGAGTTCGAGTTACTGACTTTGTACTGTATAACTTCTTAATTTAAAAAATGTACATTTAATAAATACATTCAAAAGCCGTTAATCCGGACTCGTCGGGACTTCGGCGATTCCGGATTATAGATCATCAGTTTAAATATGGTAAGATGGCATGCAGAAATTACAAAATTAAAAATATGAAACTGAAATTTAGGAAATAAAGAACAATTATGATCTAAAGGGTATCAAAATTTACAAAAAGAAAAAACTTAATATTTATTTGTTTACTTTATTAAACATTTCTTTCAATGTAAGTTGTTTAAGTTGCTTCGTTTCATGTGATAATACTTTCTCTTTATTAAACAGACATGATTTCTTGTTTAGTTACAAAAGTTCTGCTGATCAAGTCCTATAATTGCTGTGTCGAGAATACCGACTAATTTGTCAATCGAAATTTTTTCGTTTTCAATAACCTCTGTGTCACTTTCTTCACTATCGGAAGCGAATTATATTGACGAAGAACTTGATTTAAATCATATCAAAGACGGAGTACATCGAGATAAAATACTACATTTAGTAAAGAATTATAAGCCAAATAAAATAAAAACATCTGCCCTGAAGATAAGGATAGTGCTGACAGATCAACGCGGCGTCCTCCCACCCCCCGCCGCAGAGCAGCGTGAAATTGATAAACAGATTTTGGATTTCGAAACATACTTTCGCTTTGTAGATCCTTTACATATTAGTAAATATATATCGGAAATTCTATTTGACATAATTGAAAGTTCAAGCTTACTTTTATAAAATTGCTCTAACAGTCTGTAAAAAATAATAAGGCGTATCCAATTCGAAGATTAAGGAACAATGTAATCTGCAACATTAACTGAATTAGATAATTTTAGCTTAGCTTACATTAAACGCGCATGCGTAAACGTATTATGCGCACACGCATATTCGCAGCCGCAAAGATCTTATGCGCACGCGCAAACGCCTATGTTCATGCGTCAATGCGACGCATGCGCAGAAAGGTTGTAGCTTTGAGGTCCGGATTATGGGTGTCCGAATTAATGACTTTTGACTGTATATCTAAAAATCTCAAATCAAATCTTAGTGAATAGCGTAACCAAAAAGGCAATCATAACACCATAGTTAAATGAAGATAACACAGTCTGAAGCATTTCATTACTTCATTCATATACTTTTTAAATTCAGACTTTTGAGTTCAATGCTCATTGTCAAACACCTTTTAGTATATAATTATTTACAAATTTAAAATTTAATATATAAAAATTAGGGATGCTTTTTAATTATCCACACCTCCCCACTGAAATACCTTGAAAAAGTATTGAGGAGGCATAATTTCATCATGCTCCCAAAAAATACTTTTGTTGCAATTTACGTCGACAAAAAATATTTGTATGACAAAACAAGTATGAGTGCAGCATCTCCTCCCCCTCCAAAAGGCTCTCCATTTCTCCAGACATTTTCAAGAGTACGACTGCAGATTACAATCCTCCTACAGAAATTTCAGAGTTTTAGAATAGCAATCAACTGCATACTGCAGTTTTAATTGTTTTGAAAAAAATCTTCAGATTAGTTTCTGTGCACATAAAATGTAATATGGTTGGTTCGCTTAAAGGCATCAAGTGTTATTTTTTCTTCTCATTTCAGAATTCTGGTGCTAAGGTCATGCACAATAACAAGCTTGCTCCTTAATTTTGAAGCAGATCACTGAGAACATGGAAAGAACAATAGCAAAAAAAAAAAAAAAAAAAACTGTGACTTGTGAATGTATTGTATGGAAAACTAAAAATGCATAAAAATATGTGGCACTGGATGCATTGTTGAAATTGATGTTAAGAAACCCAAACGAGAATTTCTTTCCAAAGTTGGCAAAAAGTTCATGAATACTCTCCAAAGTCAGCAAAAGTAAGTTTGATATGCTTTGCAATGATCTTATAGTGTCCAAAATGTTGGTAGATGTTAAATGAATTATTGCTAAGTCTAAAATAACAACTGAGCCTTTAGAAGCATATAAAAGATCTTTTT